AACATGCATACCCAACTAAGGTACGTACAACTCTTATTAAATCTAAGGCCGCATCTCATATTTTACATTAACTCCAGGCTCTGAAAAAACGTAATGTTCACCGTCTAACGCCGAAACATGTTTCTCGGGGTAAGACTATATGCAGATTGCTGTATCAAAATTATTTGGCGGGTGAAAATGGAAATATATAGTTAGAATGGATTAGGCTCGGATATACTTATCTGACTGGAATTGAAAAAGATCGATTTACTAAAAAAAAAAAAAGCAGTAAAATGACTTAATATGTTGGTTCCAAGAAAATTAGGAATGTTTTTACTTCCTTGTACGAAGTAAAAAGGAAGTATTGTAATCGCGAAAATTTTCAGGCGGCATATTTCTACGAAAATATCCATTTTGACCGCTATCGAATGCAATTTAACGATGTTTTTGCGAGATATCTGTACGTAAGGACAGAATAAAATACTCTTTTCCTTCAAAAAATTATAAAACTGCTTTAAAATTAATTCTGAAGAGAATTTTTCGTGGCGTCTGTACGAACGTATGTACGTACGTGCGTACGTACATATCTCGCATAACTCAAAAACGAGTAGCCTCAGGACGTTGAAATTTTGTAGGTGGGACTGCTATAACATGTAGATGTGCACCTCGTATTTTGGTTGCAATCGGCCGCACCAAACGTATATAAATATATTTATATATATATCCACTCTGTTACCCGGCGCAGTGATCTCAGTTTCTTTACGCTTATATGTTTGTAAATTGTACATTTTTTGCTTTAAAAATGATTGTATTATGTTGTTTTTATCTTTCGGTTAAGGTTTTTATGCCTTTAGTACATCTGTATGCAATATTTTTAGAATTATCAACAATTTTAAAGTTGTCTAAGTGCCGCTAAGCCTTTTTTTAATGGCGGCCATTGATGTTTACATTTGAAACAGGAGACTAGTGGATTTGTTGCCAATCTAGAGAAACTTAGCTTCGCAACAACAAAGATAACGCATTCATTTATTATTGCCAATTAAACAATGCTTAATTCTTCCTGGAATTTTTTCGAGGAAATAAGTGTTTAAGATTTACTTCGTAATTTTTAATAGAGATATTTTGAGTTTTTTTGTATTTTTGCCTTCTCGCGAAGTGAGAACTGAATTAATTGAATGAGAAATACTCAATCGTCTGTGAAAAACTGTTTCTTTTTTGTTTCGTTTGCTTAATTTCTTTTATACATCATTCTAGCTTGATTATAGTATTTGAATAGAACATGTAGCAACGATTAGATAATTCTATTCTTTAAATGATATAAATTTTAGATTTTTATGAGTTATAATATGAACGAAATATATAAGTTAACTGTTATATAATTATTGGATTATATAACAGTTGACTTAGTTTCCATTATATAATTATTGTATAAGTTAACTGTTATATAATTATTAATACTGTTAAGTGAATCTAGCGCCAGAGTGTCGCTATGGTAAACAAATACTAGAGTGAATTTTAAAGAATGCATTTATAGTATTGTGGTTTATGCGCTGTCGGCGAAGTAGATTTAATTCAATCCAATAAGTTTAAATGAAATGCAAGAAAAAATTCGTATAATTTAATATTCCAATACAAGGAAGTCATGTGGTGTACACATTAGATTTTTTCTAAAAGATTTTATGGTTATTGTTGGATTCTCTTATAACGGAAAACTTAAAATACTGAAAGTAGAAAAAATATCAAAATTAATTCGGAATTACTCTCAGAAATGTTGTTTTAACACTTACTTTTAAAGACGAAATTCCATCTCATATCCAAACGATCTTTACTGTTCTATCACGATACGGCTCCGAGTCGTACCTCTAAATCTACTGCTCTATTTTTCAAACAAAATGAGATATGAAACAGGAATTGAAGCTATTCCCTTTAAATACATCTCACCCCAGTCCCCTAATGTGTCTCTCATGGATTATTGTGCATCTGGACTTAAAACGAGCTCTTTATAAGCGGCATCCCAATACATAGGATGGACTCTGGAAGATTGTGAAGGAGGAGTGGAGTAAAATCAACCGGGCTGTTTTAAGAAAAGGAGTATTATCTTGGAAATCAAGGGATAATATGATAGTTCAATAAAAGGGCTATCAAAATGAATATATTAGAAAATAAAATTCTAAGGTTTGTTTATATATAAATCTTTTCAAAATCGTTACAAAAATCTGTGAATGTCTTTCTGTCTGTCCGACGATTCTTTCGTCTATCATAACTCTTATATGAGACTTTTTAATAATAGAAAAATATTTCTATTCTACATTCATATAAGGAATTGACTAGATTTTGAATAAAACTGGACAACCAGAAGGGAAACTTTACAGGAAACCCATAACAATCTTTAATAGACAACCGAAAGTGATGCTTTACTTGAAGCCCACAATTAGTTTTGAAGAAAAACCATCTTAAAATAATAATCTAAAACTTTTCAGCTTCAGCATTTAAGCCTTGTATGCAAACAGCATATTAGATTTTGATTAAACTGATAAAATTGATAAGTGATACTTTACTTTAAGCTCTGAAGAGACTTCCAGGAAAAAATATATATATTGTGAGATAATTCAAAACTTTTCTTATTTGGTATTTAAAATAATTATGTAATTGTGAAAGAACATATTCAATTTATAAGCATTAAATGTATTCCTGTAATTATGTTAAGTGCAACGAGAGTAAGATCATTATGAAGAAGAGCTTTCTTTATGAAGCAATTAAATGTTAGCCTCAATCCTGTAACGAGAATAAGCTCATTATGTAACGAGAATAATCTCAATGTAACGAGAATAAGCTCATTATGAAGAACAGCTCTTTTTATGAAGCAATTAAATGTTAGCATCCATCCTCAATCTGCTTGTGTCAATTTTGGGTTCAATCATATTTGAAACAAAAGGATGTTGCCACCAAATGTTATCACTGTGTATTGTTTCTACAGAAATAATGCGGCAAATAAAAATAATATACTGAATATAAAACTAAATATGTGGCAATACTTAACACTGTGTCAGAAGTTCCAAATGTACGCTTCTTTTAAACGTTTTGTCATTATTAAGTTATTGATTTGTGAATACAAAACTCTATATGTCCACAAGCTATATTATAATCAATGCGATATTTTCAAATCAAAGCATGAGAACTCGTGTGTTCATTAGCACGTATAATTATTTTGCTACTGTAGGGGAGAGCGGAATAATAAAATATGAGCAGTGTGTGTCATTAACGTTGAGCCACATAGTTTACAAGCAAATTAGGTTTTGTTTGCAGACGATTGACCAGAAGAAGCAGTTTAATTTAAAGCTCGTTGCTATAAGCACTGAATTGGCATAGATCATGTTATAAGGTATTTCTCCCGCCTTCTTAACATGCCTTCGTGGTAAAATGGACAGCAATTCAGCGCGTATGCGAGATGTCCGACGTTCGAGTCGCGGCGAGGGCATGGCTCATTTTTCATACCTCCTGCTTCTAAAAATCTAATGTCTGTACAGTGGCGCCCGAACTAAGAAAAGGTGGTAGATAATGATTCTCCACTATCAGGATTTTGCAAAGGGGGAGCATATAAGGCATTTTTCCTGCCTTCTTAGCACGCCTTCGTGGTGTAGTGGTCAGCAATCTCGGCGCGTATTCGAGAGATCCGTGGTTCGAGTACCGGCAAAGGCATTGCTCGTTTTTCATCTCTCATGCTTTGCTTCAGTCTCCCAAGCCGAGTCCCTAGCACTCAAAGAAGCAGCACTATGGTTATGTACGCAACCAGCAGCTCACACTTCATTCTTCACAGATAGCATGAGCGTTCTGAATGAGCTGAATTCCTTTCCTCCAAAACATCCGCACACGGCAGCACTTAGAGAGATCCTTCTTGACGTTAGGCTCCTTCCATACCTTTTAAAGATCAACTGGATAAAAGGACATACTGGGCAGAAAGGCAACGAACGAGCGGAATGAACCAGCTAAGACCTGGAGCTCTCAAACCAGAAATTGACAAGGAAGTTCCGCTTTCCGCAGAAGTTGCAAAATACTCCTCAAGACAGCATTTCAAGAGACATGGTCATCACGATGGCAGGAGAAGAGACAGGAAGATTTACTTACAACATCTTCCCAATACCTTCTCTCAAGAGGCTGAAATGCAACCGACTCTTCCTCCAAGCTGTACCAACCACGGGAAATTCCCAGCTTATTACAGACGTTTCCTCAGACGGGACGTCAACTGTTCTTGCGGTTTTCGCGGGGGAAGACGTGGACGCAATTCATTAACCTGCTCTCTCCTGCCCTCTGACAGAGCACCTTCGACAGCAGTTCTTTCCTTCCGACTACATCACATATCCTGTGAATAGACTGTTCACGGACTATTACTGCAACAAGGGCATCTTAGAGATAATGAAGCAAGTGAATGAAAATAATTATATCCAAGAAACTACAGATTAAAGTAAAATGTAGAAAGGCGGCCTAACCGTCAGATTGCTAGCAATGACTAGGATGACTTCCTAACCCTGTAGTGCCATTAACTCAGTTTGGCGGAACAGGTTAAGTAAAGTGACCATATCTCTCATGCTTCGAAATAACTTAATGTCTCTACAACTTTAAAGCTCGTTTCCTTAGGCACATAATTGGCGGAGGTCATGTGATGATGACATCAGATTTCTTTGGTTCTTTAGGTTATTGTTAACATTCCTTTATTAAGTAAATGGGATGGTTTCGTTTCGCATTTAGAACAATTAAAGCAGGAGGAATATTTAGACCGCATTATTTTTTGATACATTTACCCAGTAAAGTTCTCGCTAGAACGTTTGTTTATCTTGTGTATTTTACTGTACTTACTATAATGTGTCAATTAGATTTGTCAAGAAACGTATCCGAAGCAGTAAACTGTTCACGAAAAAATTATTAGTCATGAATATTATCATTTTCAGATAAAAGCATTAGATAACTAAAATAGAAGAAGTAAAGTAATGAATTCATGAGAGTTTTATCAAAATTTGGATTACCTGCATCTATTGAAAATATCGGGTACCCTATAAAGTTGGTAACATTCTTCACAAATCGCTTCTAAGCGTGCATAACTGTGTGGATCGTACGTCCCCATGCAGCCAATATCTGTGAAACCTCGTTTTTGAGCCAGATATAATGACTCATTTGGCGATATGGCAACGGCGAATAGACACAGCAATATTTGAAATAACGCCATCTGTTAAAAGAAAAAGGAGATTTAAGCAAAGGTGAAAAAGGCTGAACTATGTAATCCAGAAATTTGTTTTGAGAATTCCATTTTAATATATCAAACACAATGTTTACCTCTGCAGATGCAAGATCAAGATAAAAATTAAATTTTAGTTTGGAAAGTATATGTGTTTTGTTGTCCTCTAATAACTCAGTCACTGCTATAGCTATTGTCACCAAACTTCCTACAATTTTGTTCTGGGTCCTGGAAAAGGTCAACGCCCACATTTATTCAAAAATAAAATGGCTAAAAATCAAAGATATTAATTAAAAACTCGTAAAAACAATAATTTTTGCACTCATTTTTCCAAGTAGCGACAGTCTCACAAGCTGGAGATGAAAACTTGCTTGATTTTGAAAGTTGTTGCCCACTGCTCGCTTTCAAATCCTACAGTTTTTTAAAATTTAAAACGTTAAACAGTTAAAACATTTCTAAGATTTACAATGAAATTATGGTGCGTGAGGGTTATGGCACATCAGGCTGCCACAAAGTAAAAATAGCATTGCCAAACATTAAATACATTATTCCCGATTCCAAAAATTTCTGGAAAGCCATTTCGACGCTTCTCATCTTCGTACGACTTTAAATCAGCCGAAATATTAATTAAAAAACTCCAAAAGCGCTCATTTTCCCACTCGTTTTTCCGAGTGGCAACAGTCTCGCGAGTTGGTGATAAAAATGCGTTATTTCGAAAAGTGTTTCTACTGCTCACTTTCAAATCGTAGAGTTTGTTAATCAAAAATTTGTAAGTTTTGCAAAATATATACATATAAAGAAGAATGTCTGCTAATGTGTTTGTTTGTTTGCTCGTGTTATTGATTTCTGATCAATTATGATCAATTCTTTTGCCACATTTAATCGCTTAAAATTGAATATACGTGAAATATTGGATGGAACTTGATTTTTTATAACCATTTGATTAGAAAGACGAAAATCTTTGAAAACTGCGTGCCATTGTTGCGGATATAATTAGAAACAATTAGTTTATTTTTTTATCGAAAATTTTTACATGAGTTCCATATGGCATTAGAGTGAAAAATGTCTGACTATGAATCGTATTTTTTGCATCGTTGTAAGGGAAGGATTACAATGGCATTGTTCTCTCTGTTTTTAAATACATTACTTTCAATCTAACTTAGCTGGCATCGGGTACTTCCGCTTATAATATATATATATATATAATTATATTATCTGTAATTATAATATAAATAATTATATAATCTGTAATTTATATCTCTAGCTTATTGAAGAATAAGTGTGTGGTATGCAGTTTGTCAAAGCATTAGAGGGCTTTCGTTATCGTTCGTAGGATCTTCAAAATTTTAACGAAGGCACAATACAAATCCGATTAACAATGGTTGGGAATTACTTAAGATGAAAACGTATCTTTAAGGGGACTCATACACCTTAAAACCCTTCAGATCTTCGAATATGTGACTGTTGCATGAACTGGAATATTTTATTTATTTTAAAAGCAATTACTTCCAACGTTTTACAGATGACTACATAATATAGCTGCTTTGGGAACTAGCATACAGAAAGTTTGCGTTGCAACAAACATTTTTTTAATATGCTTTGTGACAAAATTTTATATCAGTTCTGTGACAATTTTTTATGCGTTCACATCATGTTTCCAACATTGCGCGCATGATATTTTAAAAATGGCTGACTTGAAATTTTATGGAATTCTTTATATGGGCAATTATTTTTTAACTGAATCTAAAATCTAAAGAATAATTTAATATTAAAAGATTTTATGCACGAAAACATTACAGATTTAGTGTGTAAGGATCCTAAGTTTTACTAACGTTTATTTTATTTTAAAACTGTACTATCACTTCTTATTTTCTACTTTCGGCAGAATTAAATGCTTTAACTTGTTTATGCAAGTTGTCTTGCTAACCCCCAACTATTTAAGTAGTGGCTTTTTCAAAAGTGAGAGAGAGAAGAAGATTTAGGAAGCGAGCCTCTTGCCACTGCAGTCTTACGAGTTTTTCACTCGGTTGCTGTTTTCCTTTAAGGCCAGAGGTTTAGTCCTCTTGATATTTGAAAACGTGTTGTAGTTTCAGCAGCTCGGCGTACTACATACGTACCCTTTTAAATAAAGGTCAGTCTAAGTGCTAGGCATTTGTATACTAATTCAAAGTTAGCTTTTAGTTAGAGTTTTAGTTAGTAGTTTTATATTTTTACGTTCAGACCACAAGTGGTTGGTCTCTGTATCCCGAAGTTCGGGAGTACCTGTAAAGTAAATACAGAATAAAGGGTTTAGTATACCCTTCCTGCTTGTGTCGTCTATTCCACACAATCTGGAAGAGCTTTAATAAGCTCACTGTTCTTATTCAGGATACAGTATGTTCCCGAAGCAAGTGAAGAGACATACGTCACCTGACAAGTGTAATACATTTTATAAACTCAACTCCAAATATAATAAAAATTTAACATGAAATTCTCAGGATTTTGGCTCACAGTGGTTTTTTTCAAATGTTATAAAAGCTATATATTAAATACGGAATTAACTTATGCGACAGAATGTTTTAAGCTTTGCGTGCAAGGTGGAAACATGACTTGAACGGATAAAAAAATTTTCGCTAAGTGGATTAAATTATAAAACTATTTATGGCAACAGATTTTCTGCTTACTAGTTCAGAAAGCAACTATATTATGTAGTGAGTTGTTAAACGTTGGAAGTAATTGCTTTTAAAATAAATAAAATATCCCAAGTTTTGCAACAGTCACATATTCGAAGATCTTAAAGGTTTTAAGGTGTGCATGTCCCCTTAAGAAGTAAAAAATATTTGCCGTATGATATCTCAGAGAATTAAACTAAATATAATCAAAACATTTTCCTACATTCAACAATGAAACGGTTTTGTGTCAGTCTTGAATTTAATCTCTTCGATCACATGAGATTAGATTCAGGACCCCACGGAGCAATACAAATATGTACTCTAATATGCTCACATTTAATCAATAACATCTCAAAGTTTTAACATTTCAAGTATAAAATAGACCTGAGTAATAGACTTTTTTCAAATAGGCCCCAAATATAATTTTTCCAAATAGGCACTTACGTGTGCGAATTTTTATCACTATGTAGAAGCGAATACGGCCTCTGAAAGCCCAAATTTGAAATTTGGAATTTGTTTTGTTATCGATTTCAAATTTTGTAAAACTTTAACGAATTTCTGATTAACAAACTCAAGAATTTCAACGCGAGCCATGGCAAGGTTGTACAGAAAAAAACATTTTTATCTCCAGCGCGCGAAATTGTGAATCGGAAATTCTAAAAATATGCTCATTTTAAAAATTATTTTGTGATATTTCTGTTAAACTGAATTTTATGGTTTAACTCTTTGCGGCTCAGTGTTCCACTACATGGAACACCCAAATTGAATCGCTTCTGAATCCTTTAAATTCAACCGTAAATAGATAAAAATGCCTCTATCATATACTTTGAACATTTCTTTTTAATTTCAAGTAATTTTCTTTATTTTTTCATAATATAAAAATTTTATTTGGAAAAAAATTAGGCATAATTTTTGCTGGCTTGTACTCCAAATTATTTGTTCTATATATATATATATATATATATATATATTTTTTTTTTTTTTTTTTTTTTTTTTTGTCTTTCATACCAAATGCATGCGCAAAAGTCATTGAATAAAACCAGGGTGTTCCATTAGCGGGAACACTGCGCCTTTAGCCATCTCATGCTGTTTACAAATCAGAACATCCGTTGTTTAGGAGTAAACATTTTGTATATGTTTTCTGTTTCCGTTGTTTTTGGGGGGGATGAATTCAAACAAAGCAGTATTGAGGGGTGAGGTGTATTTTGTGTTATGAAAGCCCTAATACTGGCATCTCGAATTTTTTTGGGAGTAGTTTTTAGGCGGGAATTTTATTAGTAGCTTGACTCATCTTTTCTTAGAAATGCGCGAATTTTTTGCTGTCGCATTTTAATCTCCTTTCCATTTATTTTCAATAATTGTGTAGATATTTTTCGTGTATGTATATATTATAGGCTTATTTTTCTTTATTGCTAACATTAATCATAGTTAATTTTTTTATTATTAATTTTCCATAAATGGCGCGGAGAGATCTAACTCTTTCCGAAAATTTGTAAATATTTTTGTATATAGGACTTGTTTATATAGATATTTATCTCATTTATCCGTATATATTCAAGAATATTGTGTATATCCAGGAAACCATGTATACAGCCATAATACAGTTTTATATGAGCATATTTTTAGAATTTCCGATTCACAATTTCGCGCGCTGGAGATAAAAATGTTTTTTTCTGTACAACCTTGCCATGGCTCGCGTTGAAATTCTTGAGTTTGTTAATCAGAAATTCGTTAAAGTTTTACAAAATTTGAAATCGATAACAAAACAAATTCCAAATTTCAAATTTGGGCTTTCAGAGGCCGTATTCGCTTCTACATAGTGATAAAAATATCTAAAATATTTTTATCACTATTATGTTTTTTATCAATAGAGTTTTTTCTTTCTTATACAAACGCTTCTACTCATTTGCGTGCTTCACTGCAATGCTCGCTTAGTCGCACTTTGAAAAGCTCTGGCGGCGCAGTGTTCCACCTCATGGAACACCCACAGAATTAAAACGGTAAGTGCAATTTTTACAAAAATTTACCTGTATACTCCTTTAGGACTAAATAGACTGCATACAACTTTTTTTGTTGAAATTCGGACGTTAACGTATAGTGCGTATAGTTAAAGGGTTAAATGCGAAGAACATGATGTTTAATAAATAAATATAACACACAAAATATTTTTAAAAAAAAGCCCCTTTGGACGTAATTTAAAATCTGAAACCTTTCAGATTTTTTGTTGTTGTTTTTTAATTTTACTTATTCAGGATACAGTACTTATGATACTTAAGATAGATTAGTAGATGCTTACTTTATTGAGCCAAAAGGATTATTAATCTCGAAACATGATTTTGCGTTGATTCCCTTTAAATGACCACACTGTTTCATATTTCATTCGAGTCTGTTGTTCGTTCTGAAAAATGTATTTCCTTCCAAACTCAATCTCTTTGTTTGTGATGAACAACAAAATTATTTAAAAGTAATAGAAGAAATGAAGAGCATGTTGTTTTTTACTTTTTGATTTAACTGACTGAAATAAAAATTTATTTAATTCATGATATACGTATCTAATTAAAAACATTAAATATTTTT